ATGAGTCCCGTGATGGACTCTGTGGTGTCAGCCCAGAACTTGCTTGGGATTCACTCACTCCCTCTCTCTCTGCCCCTCCCCTGCTTTCTCTCTCTCTCAAAATAAATAAACTTTAAGAAAGAAAAGAAATCAGTTGCTAAGGACTTCACATGTGAAAATTGAAAAGTGAGAGACCAACCAAAGACTAAGACCCCTGAAAAAGGTATTGGAATCCCAGCATAGGTGCAAAGGATAAAAAGAATATGGAATCATAGAAGGGGGTCCAGAAGGGCCTTAGGTACATAGACCCACATCAAAGCCTACGACAATGGTTACATAATGGTACACAGCAAACTGTAGAGTTCTGATTTCAGTATGTAGATCCAGTCATTCACACCAAGTCCTAAGTCAAAGGACCTTCTCCTGGATGGCTCCCAAATAGTCCCTTACTAACAATTCAGTCAATATCCTGGTACCCAGAATGGACAAAACAAGAGGAGCAGTGCTCCTTACAGAATTCTGTGTTAGTAAGTCTTATTGCTAATTATTCATTGTGACATTCTCTGGATTCTGGTGAAGTAATGTCTATATACTGTTAGCACACCTGCCTATGTTTCACTCAACGAACAAATATACCCCCAAAGAAGAAATTATATTCTCAGAAATTCCCCATTTACAAGGGTACGTATGTTTCCTGTCATGGTTTCATAATTTATCTTCACTGCGGAATTATCTACCATTGGTAGTGGCCTTAAAAACTTTACCTGTTGGGGGGCGCCTGGGTGGCGCAGTCGGTTAAGCGTCCGACTTCAGCCAGGTCACGATCTCGCGGTCCGGGAGTCCGAGCCCCGCGTCGGGCTCTGGGCTGATGGCTCGGAGCCTGGAGCCTGTTTCCGATTCCGTGTCTCCCTCTCTCTCTGCCCCTCCCCCGTTCATGCTCTGTCTCTCTCTGTCCCAAAAATAAATAAACGTTCAAAAAAAAAAGAAAATTTTAAAAAAACTTTACCTGTTGGAAGCCTGGATGGCTCAGTCAGCTAAGCAACCAACTGTTGATCTCAGTTCAAGTCAGAAGCTCACGGTTCATGAGATTGAGCCCCACATCGGGCTCTGCAAATGGAGTCCAGCTTCAGGCTCTACACTGGGCTTTCCATTGGGCTCCGTACTGACAGCAAGGAGGCTGCTTGGGATCCTCTCTCTCCCTCTCTTCTCTGCCCCTCCTCCACCCGCATGCCCATGAACTCACTCTCTGTCTCTCTCAAAATAAATAAACATGAAAAAAATTAATAAATCAATCAAAAAATTAAAAAATAGAGGCACCTGGGTGACTCAGTTGCTTAAGCATCCGACTCTTGATTTCAACTCAGGTCATGATCTCACGGTTTCATGGGTTCCAGCCCCACATCAGGCTCTGCACTGACAATTTGGAGCCTGCTTGGGATTCTCTGTCTCCCTCTCTGCCCCTCCCCCACTCGTGTTGTCTCTGTCTCTCTCAAAATAAATAAACAAAAATAAAAAATAAAAACTCTAGCTGTCACAAACTTCCAGTTTAAAATAAGTCAGTGAATGTAAAGTAGAGACAGTATAAGGAATATAGTTATTTTTTTTTTCTGATCATAGTTACTTTATTGTGGGGGATTTTCTTTTTTTTTTTTTTTTTTTATTTTTTTAAATTTTTATGGAAATTTTTTTTTTTTTTTTTTTTTTTTCATTTTTTCAAATTGACATCCAAATTAGTTAGCATGTAGTGCAACAATGATTTCAGGAGTAGATTCCTTAGTGCCCCTTACCCTTTTAGCCCATCCCCCCTCCCACAACCCCTCCAGCAACCCTCAGTTTGTTCTCCATATTTATGAGTCTCTTCTGTTTTGTCCCCCTCCCTGTTTTTACATTCTTTTTGTTTCCCTTCCCTTTTGTTCATCTGTTTTGTCTCTTAAAGTCCTCATATGAGTGAAGTCATATGATTTTTGTCTTTCTCTGACTAATTTCACTTAGCATAATACCCTCCAGTTCCATCCACATAGTTGCAAATGACAAAATTTCATTCTTTTTGATTGCTGAGTAATACTCCATTTTATATACATATATACCACATCTTCTTTATCCATTCATCCATCGATGGACATTTGGGCTCTTTCCATACTTCGGCTATTGTTGATAGTGCTGCTATAAACATGGGGGTGCATGTGCCCCTTCGAAACAGCACACCTGTATCCCGTGGATAAATGCCTAGTAGTGCAATTGCTGGGTCATAGGGTAGTTCTATTTTTAGTTTTTTGAGGAACCTGCATACTGTTTTCCAGAGTGGCTGCACCAGCTTGCAAAGAATATAGTTATTAACATTGTACTAACTTTGTCTAGTGACTGATTGACTGATAGTAACTAGACTTATCAAGGTGGTCATTTCATAATGTACAAAAATACTGAATCACCATTTTGGACACCTAAAACTAATATAATATTGTGTCCATTATAATGTGAAAACAAAGTCAGAAGCCAATTAATTAATTAAGAATACAAACTTCAGCTGTCAATACCTACACATATCATGTACTTCATGAGCACTCCAAATTCTGGCAGGTAGGTCTTTTTTTTAAGGGAGTGATTGCTTTACAATGTAAATAATCACACTCACAAAGGCCTTTTTTTCAGTTTTTTCTTTTATTGAAGTATAGTGAATGCATAATACCATATTATCAGTTTATTTTCTTGTATCAGGTTTTATTAAACCAGGATGCACTTTTACATATGTAGGATCCTTTCTAAAAGCATGCCTCTGAGTTCTTACCATTTTAAGTAATTTATCTCAAAAATATAGATTCTTTCTTCCACAAGCTCAGAATTGTAAACCTTTACTGACACTTCCCATAGAGTTGTTCTTAGAGTCAAATCCCGAAAGCATTCCCTGGGTTTGAATTTGAGTTCTTTCTGGAACCATAAATGAGAATGTCATGACCTGGTATGACGGTTAATTCTATGTGTCAAGTTCACTGGGATAAGGGATGTTCAGTCTTTAAAATGTTATTTTGGGTGTGCCTGTGAGGGTTTTTTTCTGAAGAGATTAGCATTTAAATAAACAGACTGAATAAAGAAGATTGCTCTCACTGGGTATCATATGTAAGTGATGAATCACTGGGTTCTACTCCAGAAACCAATACTACACTGTATGTTCACTAACTTGAATTTAAATAAATAATTTTTAAAAAAAGAAAGAAGAAGAAGATTGCTCTCACCAATACAGGTGGGCATCATCCAGTCCATTCAGGGCCTGAATGAACAAAAAGGGGGAAGAAGGGAGAACTTGCTCTCTTGGCTTGCGCTGGGACATCAAGCTTCTCCTGCCCTTGGACATTAGTGCCCCTGATTCTTGGACCTTTGGTGTCAGACCAGGACCTACACCATAGGCTCCTCCAGTTTTCAAACCTTCAGGCTCAGCCTGAATTACACCACTGATTTTCTAGCTTCTCCCGCTATCAAATGACAGATCATGGGACCTCCCAGCCTCCATATTGTGTGACCCAATACCTATAATAAATCTCTTCTTATATCCATCTCTCAATCAATCTAAATAGATGTATAGTTATATCGTTATAGTAGGTACGTAGATGATAGATAGATAGATAGATAGATAGATATAGATAGATAGATGATAGATCTTATTGGTTGTTTCTCTGGAGAACTCTTATATACCCAGTATGTTTTGTTTGTTTCCATCAGCCAGAAACCTAAAAGTCAAATACATTTTGTGTTCAAATCTACTCAGGTCAGGTATCTGAAAGTTCTGTCCTATTTCTTTCACATGAGTTCTTATTTTTGATCCTGAAAGTTTCTCATCTTTGCACTGATTTTGCATCCTGCCATCATCCAAAAGAACATAAAACTCATTACTGATATAACATTCATTAAATGAAATGTTTTTCAAAACTTATGACTTGTGTCCTTTCTGCCAACCATAACAAGTGCAGCCGCTAAGATACTGGGTTGAGTGGGGGATGTAGAGACTGTGTTGCTACGGGCACCATCGTGTAACCTGCTTGCTCTTGGCCAGTTGAGAAACACCATCACAGAAAAATCTGTCCTTCCCCCGATCCAGTCAAGCTCAGCATTTTCTCCTTCCATATACTATAGTTTCTGGAATCCACATTCAAATGATGATTATAAATGTCTTTAAGATACAACTATCTACATGTAAGGAACTACTTGAATTATAATGGTCTTTTAAGCCTCACTTCAAGCGAGCTGACGCCTTCTTATATTTCAAAGAAGCAGGTTGATATAGAAGTCAGATGGGCCTATACTTCAAATAAGACAATGTAGCTACAAAGAAATTAAGTACATGGATCACATGGAAAATCAGCTATGATTCTGGGGACTTTGTGGGTGGAAACAGCTAGTCGTCTGCCAAAATTTGTTCTCCTTTTTCTCCACAATAATCAAATTGGGGCTGGATACCTGGTTACCTAGCTACAGACTCTTTTCAGTACCCTGGCAAAGAGCTGGGAGCTATGGCTAATTTCTCACCAACAGAGGTGAGTAGAAATGATGGTTTCTAAATCTAGTGGAGAAACCTTAAGACATGAAGTTGATTTCCTCCTTGATCTATCCTCACCCTTCTTGCTCCCTGGAACCTCATGCTGACCATGTAGATAACAAGAAGGCCCTAGACTGAGGGTTGGCATATGGTCTCTATCTCAGCTACTCAACTCTCATCGTAGCACGAATGGAGCCATAGATAACACATATGGTGTGATCGTATCCTAGTAAAACTCGATTTATGGACACTGAACTTTTAATTTTATTAAGTGATTATGGGTCGGGGCACCTGGGTAGTGAGTCAGTTGAGAATCTGACTCTTGATGTCAGCTCGGGTCATCATCTCATGGTTGTAAGATGGAGCCATGCATCAGGCTCCGTGCTGAGCATGGGATTGTCTCTCTCTGTCTCTGTCTCTGTCTCTCCCTCTGCTTCTCCCTCACTCTCTCTCTCTCAAATTAAAAATTAAAATAAAAAATAAAATGACTATGTGTCATGAAATATTATTTTACTTTTGATTTGTTTACAACCATTTAAAAGTCTAAAAACCATTCTTAGCTTACAGCTCATTAAAAACAAGTGTCGAGCTGAATTTGGCCCACGGCGCTTAGTTTGCCAACATCCTAAGGGATGTTGACACTATGGAATGAGGGAACTTCCATCTTTGCCTGTTGAGCAGAGCCACCTGCCAACCTGAAGTGCTCACCTTGGACTCTTGCAGGAAAGAACAAATCTCTTTCCTCCTTTAAGCCCCTTTATAGCTAGGTGTCTCTCGTTACACCAGATTAACAGTTTACTTTAACTAATACATAATCCATAACTCATGACCACCCAGGTCACTGCTCTGTCCCCTCGTCCTCACCACCCTCCTTCTGAAGAGCCAAGGCAAGAAAATTAGGTCTTCACCTTCCTCCTTGCTGACCTTTCCAAGACCTGAGAGACAAGGCTCGGCCCAGAGCTCCCTTCACCTCCCTGTTCCGAAGACTATAGATGAGGGGGTTGAGCATTGGAGTGACAATGGAGTAGAAGACAGACACCACCTTGTTGAAGTTGACGGAGGAGGCCACTTTGGTGCGGACATACATGAAAAAAAGAGTGCCATAGAAGAGGCTCACCACTGTCAGGTGAGCTGCACAAGTGGAGAAGGCCTTCCTGCGCTCAGCAGCTGAATGGATGTGCAGCAACGTCCAGACGATGTTGCCATAGGACACAGAAATAACCGTAGAGGAGGCCAGGAGCACCGCCAGAGAAACGAGGAAGTCTGTGGTCTCCTTCAGGGTGACATCTGAGCAGGACAAGGCTAGCAGCGGTGAGGCATCACAGAAGAAGTGGTCGATGACGTTGGGGCCACAAAACGTCAGCTGGGACATGAGGTAGATAGGCAAAACAGGTGTGAGGAGGCCCGCCAGCCAACAAGCAGCGGCCAGACGGATGCAGGCGCCCCACGACACCAAGGCCGCATATCGCAGAGGCATACAAATGGCCACATAGCGGTCATAGGCCATGGCAGCCAGTAGGAAACACTCTGTTGCCCCCAGGAAGGTAAAGATGAAGAGCTGGGACAGGCAGCCAGCATAGGAGATGTTCTTGCCCCCACCTACCCCAATAAAACCAGCCAGCATCTTGGGCACTGTCACCGAAGTGTACCAGATTTCAAGGCAGGACAAGTGCGTCAGGAAGAAATACATGGGTCTACGTAGCCGGTGGTCTAAAGCCACCACCACGATGATGGCCAAGTTCTCCACCAGGGTGAATAGGTACATGGTGAGGAAGAGTGTAAAGAAGAGGGAGCGTGCTTCATGCACCCCAGCAAAGCCCACTATGACAAACTCTGTTACATGGGTCCAGTTTGGGGCATATGGCTGCATAGGTGGAAGTGAGAGTCAGGACGCTCATAACCTCACGGACAACGACAGCTCAAGGAGAACCAGTGAGGATGGCACACTGAGACATCTTTCATTTCAGAAGAGGAAAGCAAAGTCAAGACCCTGGCCCTGCCCCCGAAGAATGTATAGCCTGTGAGGAGCTCCAGAAAACAGACAATTTCAGTACAAAATTTAAAGTGCTGGATAAGGATGCCGACGTTATGGGAGGAAATAGCAGGGAAGCTCCCCCAAGTCTGGAGGAATCAGTGAATGCTTCCTAGAGGAAGTGTTGTCTCAGCTGGAACCTGGAAGAGAAGGATGAGTGAGAAAAAAGTTAGAGAGGTAAAGAGAGCACAGCAAGTATTAAACCCCGGATACCGGAGAGAAATCCGTGCATTTGGGAAACCTCAAGTAGGTACAGGTTACCATAGAAGTGAAGAGCTTAGTTTTGGGGGCGCCTGGCTAGCTCAGTCGGTTACACATCCGACTTTGGCTCAGATCATGATCTCATAGGTCTCGAGTTCGAGCCCCACATCGGGCTTTCTGCTGTCAACACAGAGCCTGCTTCAGATCCTCTGTCTCCTTCTCTCTTTCTGCCCTTGACCCGCACTCGCTGCCTCTCTCTCAAAAATAAATAAACATTAAAAAGTGGGGGAGGAGGGGCATCTTGGTGGCTCAGTCGGTTAAGCATTCAACTTTGGCTCAGATCAGGATCTCACAGTTCGTGGGTTCGAGCGCTGCATCGGGCTATGTGCAGAGCCTGGAGCCTGTTTCAGATTCTGTGTCTCCCTCTCTCTCTGCCCCTCCCCACCCTTCTCTCAAAAATAAACAAAACATTCAAAAATTTTTAATAAATAAACATTGAAAAAAGAAAGAGCTTGGCTTCCTGATCAAGCATACCTGGCTTTAAATACAAAAGAATTTAGGGAACCTTTTAAAAAAATAATCATAGAGGGGCCTGGGTGGCTCAGTCGGTCGAGTATCCAACTCTTGGTTTTGGCTCAGGCCATGATCTCATGATTCATGGGATCGAGCCCCACATCAGGCTCTGTGCTGGTATCCAGGAGCCTGCTTGGGATTTTTCTCTCTCCCTCTCTCTCAATATAAATACATTGAAAATAATAATACTAATAATTACAAAAATTTAAAAGTTCAATACAAAAGAATTTAACAGACTAGTGGAATTTTAAAATAGATAGTCCTTCTAAAGCATTTCGCACCACGTTTGGGTCAATACATAACAGAGCAAAATTTAAATGTAGACTTCTGGAGTAGAGTATGGGAGGAAGACGGCACTCATTGAGCCCGGGAGCAGGCAAGGGCATCACGGAGAGTGAGAAGCCGAGTTAAGAGAAAAGACAGAGCTGAGCTTCAGTCTGGGGGCAACAGACAGTGTTGAGGAACTTAAGGAGAGGAGCAAGGTAAGCTTCCTGCCCTTCATAAGGACCAAGTGTGCTGTGCCGAGGCAGGTTTGGAGAGGAACACGGCAGAAAGGCCAGGTGGGGAGGTTTTGCAGGTGTAGCATGGGGTGATGATGGCCGCGGGCTCGAGGCATGGGGAGCGAACAGAGCTAATAAGAGACAGAATAAATAGGACTGAGTTTGAATCCAAGTTCCACCATCAACGTGAGATATGTGAGCCTGGGAAAAATCACTCAAAATTCCCTTTTTAAAAGCCGATAATAAAAAACACAGGTGTTGGGAATGCAAACTGGTGCAGTCACTCTGGAAAACAGTATGCAGATTCCTCAAAAAATTAAAAACAGGACTAGCCTATGATCCAATAATTCCACTACTGGGTATTCACCCAAAGAATATGAAAACACTACTTCGAAGGGATACACACACCTCTGTGTTTACCGCAGCATCATCTACTCTACAATCGCCAAACTATGGAAGCAGCTCAAGTGTTCATCGATAGACGAATGGATAAAGAAGATGTGGTCTAGATATAGACAAGGGAATATTATTCAACCATAAAAAAAAGAATGAAATCTTGCCATTTGCAACAACGTGGATGGATCTAGGGGGCATAATGCCGAGTGAAATAAATCAGTCACAGAGAGACAAATCCCATATGATTTCATACATATGTGGAACTTAAGAAACAAGACAAATGAGCAAAGGGGGGGAAAAGAGACAAACAGACTCTTCACTATACAGAACAAACTGAGAGCTACAGGGGTGGGGAAGGGTGGGGGATGGGTTAAATAGGTGATGGGGATTCAGGAGTGCACTTGTTATGATGAGCACCGGCTGTTGTATGGAAGTGTTGAATCACTTGAAATCACCTGAAACAAATATAACACCGCATGCTAACTACACCAAAATTAAGATTTCTAAAATAATAATACTATTTTTAATGAAAAAGAGGTGAATAAGAATAAGACTACTAAGATGAATCCCTACCTTGTTTTAGATTCAGTGAAAGAATATAATGTCTCCATCATACGGCCCTTTTAAATCACAGCCTCAAATTCGTTGACGTTCTTCTCATTAACAAGTGGGATCTATGGCCACTTCCCTTAAACCTGGTCCTGCTGATTGCTTGACAGAACAAGACAGAAGGATGCTATGCCAATTTCCAGGCTCAGGTCTTAAGAAATCGATTCCTCTCCCTGCTTCTTGGAACCCGGTCACCACAGGGTGAGGAAGCCCAAGCGGCCTGCAGAAAGGCCCACATGGGAAGGGACTAAGTTCTCCCTCCCTCAGCCAAACTCTCACTGCCCCAACGTGCCAGCCGGGTGACTGAGCCGTCCGGGAAATAGGTCTCCAACCCCCAGCTGAGCTGGCCCAGCAGACACCAGCCTTCCCTGCTGGGACCTCCCCACATTGCAGATTTCTGAGCTAAATAGGAAATTATTTCTACTTTACGCCACTAAGTTTGGGAGTGGCTTGATGTGCAGCACTATATAACTGAAACAATGGTGCCCTGGTTCCAGAAGCTTGGGTGAATTATTCAATAACTTGGACCCTCTGTAGGAAAAGGTGTCATGTTTTGCCCACGCTCACAAATGCCTTGGGGCACCTGGGTGGCTCAGTTGGTTGAGCATCCAACTCTTGATTTCAGCTCAGATCGTGATCCTGGGGTCGTGGGAAATAAAAAAAATAAATGTCTAAACTGGGATCTGAATTTAGGTTGACAAGGTCTAAAACCTTCCTTGTTCCTTCCCCTAAAAAAAGAATTAAGCAGGTTCCTTGTGGCTTCAACAACCCATGATTTCCTGGCAACAGAAGCACACAGAGATGGTCAGAAAAAGGTCAAAGTCTTCAGATTCCTGCATTCCTAAGTCCATTCTTTAACATCCCCACGGCGAGTGGTCTATAAACATGGGCTTCCTGGCCAAATATAACTGCATTGCAGCCCTTTTCTGGTTTATAATGTAACAGTTTGAGGGCAGTGCTTACCCTTCCTGGATGCCCTTCCTGGAAGACACTCACTACACATACGTACTGTAGAGCCTGACTTGACTCATTGTGTTATAAATAGGCTTCATTGCATCCCATATCCTAGCCTCTAATTAATAAAGTAAAATGGGGCGGAGGCGTCTGGGTGGCTCCGTCGGTTAAGTGTCCAACTCTTGATTCGGCTCAGGTCATGATCTCATGGTTCGTGAGTTCAAGCCCAGCATTAGGCTCTGCGCTGAGGGTGCAGAGCCTTCTTGGGATTCTCTCTCTCCCTCTCTCTCTCTCTCTACCCCTCCTTGCTTTTCTCTTTCTCTTTCAAAATACATAAATAAACTTAAAAAAATTGTTTTTAAATACAGTGAAATGGGGTGCCTGGATGGCTCGGTTGATTAAGTTACAGCTCAGGCTATCATCTCATTGTTGGGCTCATGGGTTTGTGGGTTCGAGCCTCACCTTGGGCTCTGTGCTGGTGGTACAGAGCCTGCCTGGGATTCTCTCTCTCCCTCTCTCTGCCCCTCACCCACTCGTGCTGTCTATGTGTCTCTCAAAATAAATAAATCAACTTAAAAAAATTAAAAATATCATCTGAGGGTTGTTGGGGGGGTGGGGTAGAGGGGAAAGTGGGTGATGGGCATTGAGGAGGGCACTTGCTGGGACGAGCACTCGGTGTTGTATGGAAGCTAATTTGACAATAAATTATATTTTAAAAAATAATAAATAAATAAATAAAATCATTATAAAAAAGGGCAAAAAAATTAAAAATAAAGTAAAACAGGGCCCAGTCCTCACTTCCAAGCCAAAACCTAGTATCTAAACTACACAATCATCGGGATCAGCTCTTTCTCTACTGCCCAAGACCCAGTTGCATACTTTGAGGCCCAAGACACTAACTCAAGCTGTCAAATGGATCGAATCGTTATACTGAGAAAACCGTTCAAAAGGCTTAAATGAAAAAAAAAAAGGTTTAAATGAATAAAATACTTGAATGGATTACTTCATTTATTAACTTATATTCATTCCCTTTCATTTATTAAAAAGGGAGAAAGAATCCTACCCAATTATCTAATCCTTGGCAAATTTTGAAACCAACAGCATTTGAAACTCGTTCATTTGTAATTTACTGATGTGATTTACCCAGACTTAGATTCTGGCTGCTTCCCCAGTCGAGCACTCCTCCAGGAGCCTCTTGCATGTCAGGCATTGCACTTAGGCACCAAGCCTATAAAGGTTCAAGAGCCCTGCCATTGAAGAGCCCAGAGTCTTTCAGGGGAGTCTGAGAACTCTCCAAACGGAACAACCACCACAAGATGAGCCCCTTTCCATGCATCTGGGAGAACACAGCAGGGACAGTTCGTCTGGCCCAGAAGGAAGACAGGATAGGTGAAACCAAGAAAGAATTTCCCAACCAGATCACCGTGTGCAGGCTGAGAGACAAGATAATCCCTGACTGACAAAACCAGGTTCAGCAGAGGAGAGTCAGGTGGGCCAGGGAGGAGAAGCATGAAAGATGAGTCCCTGGGAAGAGGCTGTGGGCCCCCCCCCCCCCCCGCAGAGGCAGGAGGGGGAGGGGTCAGACTACTTGGTGTCTTCATAGCCCAGGTCCACCACTCCTAACCTAAATGCCATGGAAAAACCTAGGTGGAGGGCAAGGTCCAACCCAGATGAATGGATTTCTCACGGAATCGTGTGAGTCCCCAGAGATGGGTTAAACAAGGAAAGCTTTCTGGGCAAGTTTCAGGAAATGCTGAGCCTCCTCAGAGCGTTCAGGTCCTGTGTGGGTAGGAGAGGACCCTCCCTCAGGAGGAGGAAGAGGATGTTTAGAAGTCCCTTCCGTGGGCCACATTCTGCTGGGCTTAGGTCATTATCTCCTTTCAAACCCACAACAAGGCTGCGATCCCATGACCCAGGCTTCAGAGACGTATGACTGTTCTGGGTTTCACGCACTGGAAAAAAACAGGCTCAGAGACAGCAAGTAACTTGCATCGGATCGGAGAACCAGGAGGTGACAGAGCGCAAACGCCCGCAGGCCTGGCACAAGAGCCAGTGTTCCCTGCTCAGGCCATGCTACCTCCCTCCGCCACTGCCTTTCACTGAAGGTCACCCCTGCACCCAGGCCCCCGCCCCCCCTGTGAGGTCAACTTCTCTGTGCTCAGAGGCCCGCTGGAGAAACACCCCGCAGGCTCTGGGACCTGCAGGGACCCAGTGAGGCTCCGCGGCCCTATTAACCCAGGGCGTCCTCCCCAGGTGGAGAGAACCAGCCAAGTACAACACCGGGAGCAAGCAGCCGACAGGGAAGGGGACACTCACGGGGGACGATCGTGAATGCGACCGAATGTGGAGAGAGGCCGCCCAGGCACTTGGCCCAATTTGATGTCTTCAAAAGAAGGTGCTTCCTTGGCTAAGATTTTCCCTGACGAATAGGGGACAACGGTGTGGGGCTCACGCAGGGAAACTGACACTTCACTCCTGCAGCTGTTTGCTTGTGCAGCTGCGTGATGAGCCTGGTCAGAGAGACCGGATTTCTCCCTGTGTCCCTTCTGTCCACTTGACCTCTGGGACACTTGTCCCCTGCGGTGAAGGAACTGCAAAAGGAACTCACTGGCACGCCAACAAAACTGTCAGGAACCAGCCACCACGCCTAGCTGAGCATGAGGCAGACAGGAAAGGCTAGATGCCCGGGGGCACCCCCACCCCCTGGCCTCCCGGTCCTGGCTCTCCTGGGTCCCCTTCCCTCTCGCTCACCGCGTGCCCACTTCTCTGCTCCTCCGGCAACATCTCACACTGTCCGTTGCACACGGCCCTGGTTCCCAGCACCGCCTCTGAGATCAGAGGATCCGAGTTTGACTCTGGTGCCAGCGGGGACCAGCTCTAGTTTGGGCAAGTCGCTTTTTCTTGCTGAGTCTCTCTTTTCACATCTTCGCCTGGGAGACGCGATACGCACGTTTGCAGGGCTGGTCTAAAGATGGAAGGAAACAGCGTGAAGTGATGCGCAGGGCCTTTGTTCTTACTGCCTTTGTTTCTCTGCCTGTGCGGCTTCCTCCTGCACTTCCTTCAATTCTCTGCGTAAGGCCACTTTAGCCCCTTCTGAGCTACCGTCTGAAAACGCAACCCCATCACTCTCCGACTCGCTTCTTGCCTTGACATTTTTGTCACAGCTTCGCTGTCACCTGTTAGACATTTATTTGTTTGTCTCTAACACCCCCCCACCCGCACAAGCACAGCCCATTGAAGACAGTGCCTTTGTTTGTCCGTGACTGTGTTGCCAAAAAGAGTCACCAGGATGCACGTACCTGCATGCAATAAATTGTGATGTCATAAAAGAGGGGACACGCTCCTAGCGTCCTGCTGACCCAGAGTGCTGCTTCCTTTCCACCTTCAGCTACTGGTGTCAAGGCAACAGGAAGGCAAGGAAGCCCACCAGTACTTCCAGAAGGAAGCACCATCCAGCGTGGGCGACCTCCTGCCCATCAGCCCCACGCCTGGAGAGGCCTGCAAGGCTGGGGCCTGTGGTTCTGGACTCACCCCCCCCCCCCGCCGGGGGGGGGGGGGGGGGGGGGACAAGTGGAACTGATCTCATGTATAATTTCCTTCGCTTAGCTCCTGAACTTAATTTTAAACTTCCTGAAAACCTGTACTATATCATCTCTTTTCTTTTTTTTCTTTTTAATGTTTGTTTATTTTTGAGAGAGAGAGAGAAAGAGAAAGACAGAGGCTGAGCTGGGGAGGGGCAGAGAGAGAGGGAGACACAGAATCCGAAGCAGGCTCCAGGCTCCGAGCTGTCGTCGCAGAGCCCAACGCAGGACTCCATGAGATCATGACCTGAGCCGAAGTTGGACACTTCACCAACTGAGCCACCCCGGCGTCCCTATCATCTCCTTTCAAACTCTACTCCACTAAGCCCTAGATTTCCTCTGTCCCCAGGTAGCTGCGAAGGAAAAGAAAGGGATGTAACATGCGGGGCTCCCAGGAGCCTGGCTTCAACCAGCTAGTAAGTGGCAGAGTCTGGAGGAAAATACAGCCCAGTCTGACCCCACAGCCCACCCTCTTTCGACTATGCCACCTCCCCCGGGGGGGTTAGCATTCCTAACACCAAATCTGATCAGTTAATTGAGGGCTTCTCACATTATTCTGGTAGCTTCAGTACTGAGTGGGCATGACCTGTTCCTCAAAGCTACTCACATACGGTCTCCCCATAATGGGAGCAAACGGGAAATGGAGGCACGAGAAAATAAACGGGACGTCTCTGCAGTCAGACGTGCAACAGAGAGCACCGTGCTGGGGCGAGCTGGAGAGCCCAGTGCAGCAGAAGGAAGCAAACTTTCTGAGCTTCTAGCTCCTAATCTTTACACAGGAATAATACCTACACTTCCAGTCTCCCGGGATATTATGTATATCAGCGATATAATGGATGTGCAGGCTCTTTGAAAACTTTCACGGTGTGCTCTAGGAAGATCTTATTATCTTGCTTCCATCGCTCATGGACTATGATTACTGCAGAATTTCAATAACAGGAAAGCCTAGGGGATGGGAGTCTCAGCGGAGCCCAGAGATGGCCCTGAAGCTGCTTGAATAACAAGCAAGCCGATCTTGTTTAGATTGTAGGTTAATTTGAAGTGACTCGAAGGGGCAGACAGAGATGAAGGGGTCCCAAAGCCCCCCAAAAGTCTCCTGCTCCCCCCAATCTGTGTGAACTGAAGCAAACCAATGGAATTCTGTGTGTCCCTATTTCCTCACTTGAAAAATGGGTTGATTGGGGCGCCTGGGTGGCGCAGTCGGTTAAGCGTCCGGCTTCAGCCAGGTCACGATCTCACGGTCCGTGAGTTCGAGCCCCGCGTCAGGCTCTGGGCTGATGGCTCAGAGCCTGGAGCCTGTTTCCGATTCTGTGTCTCCCTCCCTCTCGGCCCCTCCCCCGTTCATGCTCTGTCTCTCTCTGTCCCAAAAATAAATAAACGTTGAAAAAAAATTTAAAAAAAAAAAAAAAAGAAAAATGGGTTGATGTTTAAAAGCACAGTGACTCCATAAAAGAACTTTCGAAAGAAGGAATGAGGTAACAAATTGGGACTACTCGGAAGAAAGGATTGGGTTATGTGAGGCCAAGAATCCTTACTCTAGGCTGGGGGTCTCTTTGGGAGGGGGCGTCCCTCCACTTGCCACTGTCTGCATGCTTTCTGGGTATGAGCTTATGGTTTCCAGCTTTCGTGTAAACCAGAAACTAAACCACTTCCCTCCAGGTGCTCGGGGGTCTCCAAAGGGCCACTCACCTGCCCCTGGGCACTTCCCCATCTGTTCTCCGGGTGGATGGAAGACAAAGGCCCAACATGCTCAGAACCTTGGGGCTGGAGGCCAGTGCAGGTTACTGGATCTCATTGTGGCACGGAGGCCCCAAATTCAAGGATCACGGCTTCTCTGAACCTGCGGAGAAGGGCAGAGATCCACCGTGAGCGAAACAAGACAAGAAGGAAGCAAGGGTTGTCACTGGCTATAAAATGACTCACATTCCACATATGTGGCTCTTACACCCAAGGGGTCTCCCGTGGGATCGAGTCTCCACGGAGATTTGAAGCGCTCAGACAACAAAGGAAAGGAGATAACAAATCATGGAAAACTCTGCCCCAGGGGATGTGCAGAAGCTCCGTGGGAGTCCCAAGTTTGTAGACAAGCTGGACAAACACGACTGGAGGGTGAGGGGCCAGCCAAGGAGGGCGCCACGCCAGCTAGACTCTTTGCCAAGGTCTCTGGATCTAAACTACTCAGGTTCAGGGTGAAATGAAATCTTGAGACTTCCACATTTATCAAGGATGCCATGAGGGCTTCCTTTACTAGAATGGACCACACATCCCCCACCTCCCCCACCTACCTGCCTGCCCTTTATCCCGCCCTTAGCTACTTCATAACTACCCTGGGCCAGGCTGTGTGCCGTACCGATGTGAAATACCCAGCCACAGTCCTTAAGGAGCCCACAGTCCAACAAGGCCTGTGACTAAGGCTCTCTTTCATCCAGAAAATAACTGTGCCAAATTGCCTTCCTTGCAAAGAACTTCCTCCAGAGCATTTTATGATTATCTGCAGGCTGCGTAATCTCTTTCTCCAAAGAGGAAATATGACATCATTTCACTATAAAGCAAAAGGAACACCGGGGGGGGGGGGGGGTGTGATCCTGTTCTGATCACAGGAGGCAGCTGAGCCAAAGCAAACAGCACCCTGTGGAGGACAGGGTGACATATCCTAAAACCCTAAACACACCAGATTCTTTCTCTTCGTGTCATACGACTGTGTCAGCCTAAATGCTTCAAGTGCAGCTATATGTGTCCCCAGATAAATGATAAAGCTCCCTGATGACAGGGCCATGTCTTACAGTTAACCACATTCCCCCAGCACCTAGGGCGGTGTGGCTCAGTATAAAATGTCACAGACATGGGGCACCTGGGTGCCTCAGTTGGTTAAGCATCTGACTTCGACCTAGGTCATGATCTCATCATTCCCAAGTCTGAGCCCTGTGTCAGGACAGCTCAGAGCCTGGAGCCTGCTTTGGATTTTGTGTCTCCCTATCTCTCTGCCCCCCCCCCCCCCACTCATTCTCTCTCTCTCTCTCTCTCTCTCTCTCTTTCTCTCTCAAAAATAAACATTAAAAATTTAAAAAAACACACACACATCATAGACATGGATCAGAATCCACATAAGCCTCTCGATGGACCTGTTACCTGGAGCAGGTCGGCCCCTCTGAGCCCACTTTCTCATTGGTAAAGGCGGGGATATAATGCTGGCCGACAAGGATGTGGCTAGAGGTAAACGAGGCAACAAAAGCAGTGTTCCCTCACCTAACAGGGGACACAAGGTAGCTACACTCAAATTTGGGGCAGCTCTATGCTAGGAAGACATTGAACCAGTGTCATACCTATGTCCCTGCTCCATGGAAATTTTCCAGCCCTGACCCTGTTTGACCCAGTCTGACAGAGACTCTCACTCCCTAAAAATGCAAAGCAAAACCCCTCTTCGGCGCTGACCTATGAAGCTAGACAAAGCAGCTAGGAAGACCACCGCACCAGCAGGAGGGAAAGAACTACCTGGCTGGCTCCTGTCTCCCTTCCCGCCCCCTCCCCCCTCGGGAACATTTTGTCTCCCGCCCGTAATACTTTGCAGTGTAAGCCAATCCAGCCTTGCAGGTTTCTTAAGTTTGTCACTGCGTTGTCCCAGCTTTGCCCCCGAGAAGTTCAAAACTGAGCAGTTAAAGGCAGAATTCTTCTTTGTGAGTGAGGGTAATACAAGAGGCTTTGGATGGGCAGATTCCTTTTCTGTGCCTCTTGCGCAAAGCGTCAGATATCCCAGCCCAGAAACGAGACACAGAGGTGGAGGAGCAGATCCAACACTCAGACGGAGGAAGAGGGACCCAGACCAGAGCGAAAAGCCGAGGGTCTTCACTGTTCCTCCCCGAAGGGATTAGAAATCATTCCTTGTACTTTTACGCATCGTCGTGATGAAGCAGACAAAGCTGTATATGGCTATTGCTCCAGAAGAGAGGTTCAATCTTCTCTAAATGATCACGGTCAGCCTTAAAAACATCTAGAAACAGGGGAGCCTGGGTGGCTCAGCTGGTTAAGCGTCTGACTCTTGATTTCGTCTCAGGTCATGATCTCATGGTTGTGAGATCAAGCCCCACATCAGGTTCTGTGCTGTCAGCATGGATCCTGCTTGGGATTCTTTCTCTCCCTCCCTCTCTGCCCCTCCCCCTCCCCCATCTCTCTCTCTCTCTCTCTCTCAAAATAAATAAATAAACATTTAAAAAACCCAGAAACAAAGTCTGGCCTGGTATTTTTGCAGGCATTCTTTTTAATGCATTTTTATCATGAAATGATTCCAATATAAACGTAAGAAGGAACATAATAACTTTATACCCACTACCCAGCTTTGACAACTGTCATAGACTGAATGTGTCACCCCAAATTCATAGGTTAAATCCTAATGCCCAACGTAATGCCCAAGGTGATGGTATTAAGAGAAGAGGCAGACCTCCGGGAACGAATTTGGTCATAGGGACAAGACTTTCTGAATGGGATTACTGCCTTTTTATAAAAAGGACTCCGGAGGACTCTTGCCCCCTTTCCACCATTTGAGGATACAAGAATTTGGCAGGAGGTACCCCCAAAGAGGGTTCTCACCTGAACCCAACCATTCTAAGGGCCGGCTCCCTGCCCTTAGAATTCCAGCCTCCAGAACTGTGAGAAATAGTCTCTGTTGTTAATAAACCACCCGGTCCATGGTATTCTGTTACAGTGGCCTGAACTAGGACAGCAATATTTACTTAAGATCTTTTTTTGAGAAAATACAATTAATGATAGACAGATGATAGATCGATAGATAGATAGATAGATAGATAGATAGATAGAGAATAGATAGAAGATAGATGATAGATAGATAGATAGATAGATAGATAATAGATAGATAGATAGATAGATAGAT